GTGCCACAGCAGGATGAATCACAATATAGTAAGGGAGGTCAAAAGATTTTAAGGCATTTGCAATGCCACTTTAAGTAACCACCCTTCAGAAATCTGTACCTAAGCCCATTAAAAGACAAACAGAAGAATGTCTCTGACAGCACTAGCCATAATAGCCACAAACAGGAAACCACCCAAATATCCACAAACAACAGAGTCTCCACTGCCATCGAGTCAATTCCGACTAATAGTGAGGCTATAAATATTGACGGGAACATAAAACCTCATCCTTCTTCCTTAAAGCAGCTCATGGGTTTGATCTGCCAACCTTATGATTTGCAGTACAGTGTTTATCCTACAGTACCACCAGGACTCTACATATTGAAATCTACTGAACAATTAAAAGAAAAAAAAGAATATATGTAGCAGCATGAATAGAGTATGTATTACATGAATTAATTTCTACAATGTTCTATAATAAGGAAAACTACCATATCATGATAGAAATTAGATCTGATAGAGGGAGTGTTTGAGTAATTAAAAAGGAGCACAGGGAACTTTGATGAAAATATCTTCTATCTTGATTTGGGTAGTAGTTGCAGAGGCAACTGAATGCAATTTATTATATTCCAGTTATATCTCAGAGTTGACTATATTATGTAGATATGTGTATGTATAGACACACGCATATACTATGTACATAGTATAAATATCCTGCACGATGTAGAAGTCCTGGTGTGGCGCTGTAGGTTAATGCTTCAAGGTCAGTTTGAGCTGCAAGGTTGGCAGTTCAAGCTCATTAGTTGCTCCTTGGAAAACCCTATATAGGGTTGCTATGAGTATCAACCTGATGGCACTTAATGTGTTAGTATATATGTATATAAAGTGGATGACTATATTGCTACATAAATAATAAATTGCCAAAATTCTAGATAAATCCAATTTAATAATACTGAAATGGGGTGGGAGAACTGAAGAGTTTTATAATAGAGACTGAATCAATAACTTAAAACTTTCACAAGGGGGAAAAAATCCTAAGGCTCAGATGAATTCACTGAAGAAGCAATTTTAGAATTATACATACCCTTGGAGAGAAATGGAGGCTAACTCTTCAAATCACTTTAGGAAATGAGGACAACCTTGATGTGGTAAATTGAAGGACATTACAAGAAAGATTTTAGTTTAATTTCACTCAAAAGTAAAAAAAAAAAACCTCTCAATGACTATGCTGTTTTATTTCGTACCTTGCCCACTTGTCTACTGGAGTGTCTGTTTTCCTTGAGTTGTAGTATGCTCTTTAAATTATCTCAGATACAAGCCCTGTTTTGCCATTTCAGAGATTTGTTTTAGGTTTCCTACTGGTGCCTTTTGAAGAAGAGAGGTTCCTAATGTTAGTGTCATTTTCACAGATTTTTTCCTTAATGGAAAAATGCTATTTATGTTTTAATAAATCTCGACTTGATCAAGTCATAAACATTTATCCTCCTGAGTCATCTTTCAGGTACTTCATTATTTTGACATTAATATTCTGCTCTATAATTCACCTGAACGTCATTTTGGTGCAGTGTAGGTAAGATTTTTTTTTTTTTTCTGTAACAATATCCAGCTTCATCTCTACTTTTCAGGCCCACCTCTGTCATAAACCAAAGGGCCTATTTCTGGTCTCTCTCCTGTCATTTCATTGGCCAATGTCTTCA